TGGAAAGCTGTTGCGACACCTCTCTTGTCCTGTAAATTTCAAGACTGGATTTATCCAATCATTTCATCCCCATTTACTCTTGGGCAAACACTGCCATTTAGCCAAATGGCTCTTCACCCTCTCCACTGCTTTAGCCTCAATTTAGAGAGAGTAAGCATAACCCCTCTTTCCAGGTTCTGAGAACTCATTTAATCATTTACCACTGGTACCTTCCCCAAAGAGAATTAGTTCTTTGCAATTTATTAGACTCTTGTATTATAGCAGCACTTACAACTAGTATGAGACTAAGGCCTCACTGTACTACACGGTGAACCAAGTCCTTGCTCTAAGAAGGTCACCATTATAATATAAAGACTAGAAATAAATAGTGCAGTACAAGAAACATGAGATTGGAAGTGGCCACCAAGTTCAGTCCCTGCATTTGCAGACAATCATTTGTGACACAATTCACCACGATGACCACTTCAAACTCTTGCACAAAACCAGAATTGTCAAGGACATGCCATAAGTAAAAGCAACGGAGATGAGGACACCTCCAAATCCCTGCTAATGTGATGATAGAGTTGTAATTGTTAATGTATAACACTTGCTGTGTTTTTAAAATCAACTATCCAAGATACTTTGTTCCTAAACATTCACACTCTGTGCTGTCATACTAACATCTGGTTTCCACACTTAGTTCTACCAGCCAAAAATTTTTGCATCCACATTCCCAGCTCTCCAGTGGCAGTAATACCCCATCTTTCTGCTGGCAGAACAAAGCCAGTTCCCAAATGACAGAAGGCTTTTGCATTTGTAAACTTTAAGGCAGTGTAAGCTAACTTATTGAGACTGTTATAAATTGGATAAAGACAGTATGTAAAACACCTGATTTATCACAAAACCATTTGGCACCTAAAACAGCTTGTTAGTAGTCTCACGCAATAAGCCAGAGCAATAAGTAGCCCTAGTTTTGGCAAGCTGACAAATTTGCAAATCAGAGTAGCTTAAACAAGCTACCACACAAAAACTGCTTCCAAACCAAAGTTGGTTATTTGATCCCTTACCCACCTAACACCAGCAGTGTTGCTGGTTAAAAGTATAGAAACAGTGACAGCAAAGACACAAAGGGTAGCTATAGCCATACTGCCCAAGACATTCTGTTGCGCACATACTTTGGGAACCCTTTTCTCAATGTTTCCAAGAAGGGTTTGCCAGTATAGCTCTACTGGCCAACCTTACTAGTATCTGTAAGGTCTCAGTCACACTGTACAAAAATAATATTAGCACAGTTTGTAGAAAGGAAGTAGGAGTGCATAATCCAGTTAGAAGGGTCATGTGTTAAGTGGACGACTTACAACACCACAGGAACTGGGTCCCCCATGGAAGAGTGTGCATGCCATCCTCACCACCTCTGCTTCCATCTTCCTCAAACCGGGGAATATGTCGGGATGAAGGGGATTACTCCATGCAAACTTCTCATACACCTTTAAGTAAAAAGCATGTCATTATGTTCTGATATTGTGCAAAACAAAACCTGGGTTTATCATTCAATAAATCCAGCAATAGCAATAAAAACTGGCATTACATACATTACAAATGAGCTAGCACAATGAACTATGTTCAGCCATAGCAGCAAGTAACAAAAAAAAAACCATGGCATAGGAGGTCAACAGCAGCACATTGCAGAAGGTAGGTGTAGCCACGAGTTTCTGAAGCGAACAGATGTGATGACACAGTCATATTATCCAACCACTGTTAATAACCCCCAAGTTAGAGTACATTTGGCCTGAGGCATGTTTATGCTACAACCACCATCCCATTAAGTACTGGTTTGTTTGTTTTTAAATAAATTATGAGTTCCAAGTACACCTGTTTAAAAGAAAATATATGGTTGCTTGAGGACAGAAGCTTTTGTTCTTTTAAAAATGAGCCACTAAATCTTAGTGCAAGAAGCAATCATCAGCTTATTCTGAAAAAGTCACTTCAGAATCAGACAAACTGTAATTATTTTGTCTTCAAAGTACATTTTGGAGTAACCACAAGTTATTATGCCTAGAAGCAGTACAACTACCCAAATACTCAGAAACAAGCATTCACAGAAGCCAGCATTTCTCTCACACACATTCTAAACACCATGGCTCTCAACAAAGACAGTGGTTTTAATTTTGACTGTGGTTCTAATTTTGATCTCCACTGGCCAGAATAAGGAGCAATTCTATTGAAGTTGGGGAAGACTATCAACGGGAGTGACAACATAACCATCAAGAAAAAAAAACAAAAAACAATCACTGGAACCAAAGGTTTTAAGCATGATTTCCTACAGAAAACAGTGATGAGATCTATGCATTCATACATCCATGAGCCAGGGAAGCAGTAGGCATGCACACACAATTCACTGTAGCTGCTCTAAAAAGATGTTCCAAAAAAGTAAGGAGTCTAAGAGCCTTGTTACATGTTGCACTTTAAACTGTTCAAATGTTGACCAGTTAGTACTAGCCTGAGTTTGGAACAGTCACATGTTAAGGCTAAAAACCTCTGACTGTCCCCTACCTACGCAGCTGTGACTTAACACTAGAGAATCGAGGAACAGGGGCCTGACTGGGAGTTACAGCTGTAAGCTGCCACTACAGGGCTGGTGAGCCAGGACAAGCTTCTATCCCTGCTCTAGGTGGGATGGGGGGTATGAGAGATGGATTGGGGTGAGGGAGAACATAAGGTTGGGTGGTGGAGAGTTAATGGGATGGGGGAGGGTAATGAAATGGAAAGGAAAGGAAATTAGGGTGGGAGAAGGGGGTGAAATGAAGGAAGGCAGCCACTGAAAGATAAAATAAAAAGTAGTAAATTTTAAATGAAAAATGACCAAGTAAATAAAATGTTTTTAAGGTTAAACGTTTTAATAAATTGGGATTGGGATGTGGAAGGTGCTGGTTGTGCTTCCCGGGTGGCTGGGAGGTGGGAGCAGTGACGGAAGGCCCTTTTGAGGGAGCTACTGCCCCTGTCCTAGGAAGGAAGCTCCATCTCACGGGGGGTCAATATGGCCCCATACCTTGTTTCCCACCTTCCTCCACCCCCACTAGACCCTACGCCTGGACCCATCCATGCCCTGCAAGCTGGCTAGCTGGCATATGCTCTGCAGGCAGTTTGTGCACAGTTGCAGCCTTGGGGGTGAGAAAGTCACACTCCCAGGGGTGGGAAGGGAGTTAGCTTGGTCCCAGAACCACCTCCTGGGCAGTAGAGTTCAGGGGGTAGAATGTTTGTCCACAAAGAACATAAGGGTGAGTGAGGGGGCACTGCTTCCTGGGATGCTGGAGGACTACAACTTGGGCAGTTCATCTATGGGGAGTGGCCATACAGTAATGGAACATGAGCTAGGTAACATGGATCAGAGATAAACCTGCCCTGGAGTGGTGTAACTTTAAAATGCTTAAAACGTGCTTAAAATTAGTGTCAGGTGTCAATGTGTGGACAATCCAGGGGTTAAGAGCTCCAGAACCTGCCTAAATTTAATATGTAACAAGGTCCCAAGAGGACTGTCCAAAGCTTTTTTCCTGGAAAAGGAAAAAGAAAAGAGCAGCTAGACAGGCACTTGACTTGTTTAGAACCCTTTTAACCTTACCAAGGAGAAAAATGCCAGGCTTATACATAGACCTAGCAAGAATTTAGGTCAGAAGTTCTCAAACAGGGCACTGCAAGCTTCTTTTAAAGGTGCCACATAATAGCACTGTTAAGTATGCAAACACCTATATATGATTCACAGGACAAACCCACAGATTTTGCACATATATCTATAATGTCAAAAACATTCTGACCTACTGTGATCCTTCCAAGTTCTCTGCAACAGAAAAATTGCTCTATTATTTTTCTGTAGTAAAAAAAAGTGTGTGAAAGCTAAGAGTGCCTTGAGCTTAACTGGGCTGAGCACTGCTGATTTAGGTGAAGCCAATTTGTTCTCTCTTTTTTTTTAAGCTACTCTCCAAATTTGGGCTGCACAGTACAGTTAGCTGTAAGTTTTCTTTTGCCTAGGCTTAACCCAAAAGGGGTTACAGTGGTATAAACAGCCACAGACCAGATCAAGTAGGATTAAGCCATGGTTGCCATGTAGAATTCCTGAAATGTTGTAGAGCCCCACTTTCCCAACATTAGAAGAACACCATCAGTTTATTCAGGCACATGCAATCAGCTACTTGCTTTCACATTCCAAACTTTTTATCTAATCTGTTCTTAAGTACCTACAGTGATGATGCTTTGACACCACTCCCCACCAGCAACCTTCGGCCATTTATTTGACTGCCCAATAGTTCTGCTAATAACACCTTCTATCTGAACCTCCACTTCTGGCTTCAGGGCCCGTGGTCTTTGTTCTACCACTTTCCAAGACAAAATAATTCCTTTTAGTTCAGGAGCTTATGGGAAGGGGTTTATGGTTACTCACCACAAAGTTTTTGTAAATTCAACATATTGTATCGCCTACAAGCTTGTTTACCTTCACTAGCAGATTGGTGAGTTTCTCTTCACCACTATACACTGTCCCAGAGACTTTTCCATCCTCCCAATGTACTTCACCTGAAAAAATAAGCATAAGCAGTGTAAGCTCAAATTGGCAGCAACCTTCAAATATCTAAAAGGGTAAAGAGAAAGTGTGTGTCCTAGTAGCTTAGCAAACCAGAAGCGTTAGCCTCTCAAGTTACTGACCAGCCCTGACTTCCCAGGTAGTCTTATCATTAGCTCAAAATCAGAGAAGGAAAGACAATTTTCTCTAAAACATAGCAAATATTAGAGAAAAATAAATGCCTGGATAGTGACTTAGAATTAGGAAATCCAAGAAAAGTTTGTCCAAAATGTTGACTTTGGGAATTATCTTGTCTCTTCCCCCACCATGTTAATTGTCTATAACTGCTTCATTTAAGAGACCATTAAAAATAAGTTCTCCATAGAGTGATATTTCTAGACTGCACATGGGGGTCAAACCATTCATAAATATGAAATACTTTCTCCAGCCTTCTTCTTATTTCCCTGGTGTCATGACAATTAGCACAAATAAAATTTCATAATAATTGAGCACTCAAGGCTTCCACTTTTTTTTTTATGGAATACAGAAATAGTTATAACAGTACAGGGTAGATCCGTCTTGCTCAGCTACAAAGCGTTCAGCTGAGCAAATTTTATGCAAATCAGAAACCTACTACTCAATACCAATTTAAGTTCCCCAAACTTTTCCACATTGTTGGGTTCTAACTTCAGCATTGTGCCATATTTAAGAAAGGAATTCAAAGAAGCCTGTACCGTTAAAAACACACAGATTTAGCAAATGATTTCATGTAAGGCACATGCAAATGAAAGCCACCAGACCTACACCCTTCTTTAAACACCCTGACATGGTGTCCACTACCTAAGTGTTTTCTGGGTAACTTTCTAAGATCAAGCACATCAATGCACATTTTCTATCAGAGTTGGTCATCAGCTTGATCCTCATACCACCACCCTCTGTTACCCTCCTGGCAGAGGGGAGTGTTTAAAATTTTCCTATTAAGGGTTTCAACTTCAAACATAGCAGGCATGATCATCATTTCCTTGCCCTCATTCCAAACAGCTTCTGAAGAAGGGGGAAGGAAGTGAACAATAAACACACACTAGTGAAAGCCTCAAGGAGTGTTTGAGGGGAAAAACATTACATTACATAGGACAGAACAAGTGGCAGTAAAACATCTGCAGGATATTTATTAGACATAAGTTTGTACACAGAATTGATTACATTTGCTTGTGTGATAATCAGGCAATTTATAGGATGAAATGCAAAAGTTACTCTAGATTTGGGAAAGAAAGGATGTAATACTATCTAATCCACAAAACCAACATATTTTAGGAAGACTTACTGCTTCAAACTTTCTAATTAAAAGATAACAGGTACTTTAACTTGAGTTCGAATTTTATCATAGTATCATAGTGCTTAGGGTCGGAAGGGACCTAAACGAATCATCAAGTCTGACCCCTTGCCCCAGGCAGGAACGGGTGCCGGGGTCATATCACCCCAGTCAAATATCTGTCCAGCCTCCTCTTGAAGACCCTCAAGGTAGGAAAGAGCACCACCTCACTTGGGAGCCCACTCCAGATCCTGGCAGCCCCCAGCCTGAACCTTCTCTCTAACAATTTGTGGCCATCATTCCTAGTAACCCCGGATGGTGCCCGGGGGAACAGAGCCTCCACCAATTCCCCTGGTGAGTTTGTAAACAGCCACCAGATCCCCTCTCAGCCTTCTCTTGTGGAAGCTGAATAGGTTCAGGCCCTTTAGCCTCTCTTCGCAGGGCCTGCCCCACTGCCCCTTGACCATGAAAGTGGCCCTCCTCTGGACCCTCTCAATGATAGCCACATCCCTCTTGAAGTGCAGCACCCAGAACAGGACGCAGTACTCCAACTGTGGCCTGACCAATGCAACAGAGGGGAAGGATCACCTCCCTGGACCTGCTTGTGATGCATCTTTAGATGCATGACAAGATGCAGTTAGCCTTACTGACTGCTTCCTCGCATTGGCGGCTCATGTTCATCCTGGAGTCAACAATGACTCCAAAATCCTTTTCTGCCACCATGCTGACAAGAAGGGTGTTCCACCGGCCTATAGGTGTGTTGCTGGTTCCTTCTCCCTAGATGCAGTACCCTGCACTTTATGTAAGTCAGGGCTGTCCAACTGACTGCCTGGAGGCCGCATGCAGCCCATGAGAGGTTAAATTGTGACCCCTGAGCTCCCACCTAGCCACCACTCTCCCCCTTTTTCCCCTGCTGTAGTAGTAGCCAGGGGCTTCAAGCTCTGCCTGTCTCAGGCCTCCCCTTCCTGCCCCTGCCCCAAAACTAAGTGCAAGTTGGGGCTCCCTAGCACACAGCTCAGAAAGATGCCAAGGTGGAGTGTAGGGAGCAGCAACAGAGAAGGGGAGGGAGGAAGGGAAGGAAGACATGTGGTCCCCAGGGCCTGGGGTCCATGCTCCTGCTGGTGTGGCCCCAGCTAGTGTAGCTTGAGGTGCATTCAGCCCCCAGCCACTTAAAACCTGGCACAAGTGAAACAGAATCAAGTGTTACACACCGTCTATGATGGAACCAAGGCAAACAATCCTGATGCACACTTTACAAGGTAAGAATCACTGTAACTGAGAATAGAGATTCCCTAAAAACACTTTGCTATGCAAGTTATTTTTCTTTTGAGTAATGCTGAGCATTGCGGCGGGGAGGGGAAACGAACACACTTTTAAGCAAGAGACTAGCAGTGGGGTTACTGCTCAGAAGCAGATTCAGACTTGCCTTTAAAATACTTTCCATCAATTAAAAAAAAGTCAAGAGGAAACCATCTTGATTTCCTAGGCTAACTCAATCTAGAGACAGTATCATGATATTGCACCAACCTAAATAATATTAGTAGTTTATTTAGCATTTTCACTAAAGTGAGAGTAGAATTAACACCACAATTGTATATTATATAATAATAAAATTACATGATTTGTGATTATTGGTAAAAACACATAAACAAATTATACATTCTACTCATTTAAACAAAATGAAAATCAAACATAATGCATGATAATACATAAAATAAACCAAATGAAGCAATATAAAATAGCAGAATAAAAAATTAAAAACCAGGATTTCTATTTGATTTTGGCCCTTATCCTTTGTGCAAGTGGCACTAATACATCTATGGAATATAGGACAGGCTGTAAGGTAACAGAGAAGAGCCAAACTGTTTCTCCTTCATTAGCCCATTGCTTAAAATTTTCCACTAATGGAGAGATCCATTTCCCCCTTATTTCTTCAAAGGCTGAACAAGACCACAAACAGTGATTTAAGTCCTCCATCTCATTCTTCCCGGAAGGACATATCCTGTCCACATATGAGGTCTTATACAACCTCTCCACGACAACTGAAAAGCTCATTTGAGTGAATCTCATAACGACCTCTCATTGGTCGTGGTTTTATACTTCAGATAGGTTTCTAGGCCAAAAGAGCAATTTATTAATTTCAAAAAAAGGAAGTTCAAGGAAGTCTCACTGCTTGCATACGTAGTTGCATGCCAGCCTCTAAGTCTTAAATTTATATCTTGTTTTAAACATGGGAGGAAATACTAGATCAGGAAGTGTCAGCACGTTTTCAAGATCATTTGTCTGGAGGAAAGTAATGCTCGGATTGGGGGGGTGAGGGACAGAGGAGTAAGGGTGGGGGAGGGAAAACATATATTTATGGCAAGAGATTAGGAATAAGGCAAAATTGCTCAGAAGCAGATTTGTGCTTGCCTCTAAAATACATTTTTTCCAATTAAAACAAAGTGGCAGCCAAAAGAGATTTGTCTTGCTTTCCTGGGCTAACTCAACCTAGAGACAGTGTTGTGATACTGCACCAACTTAAAAAGAAGAATCTCTTTGTTTTGGCAAGGGAAGTTAAAATATCCCACTACCAAAGTAAGTGGGTTCACTAATTTTATCATGTGTTTGCTCACAGTAGCTTGCAGGCTGCAACCACTTTTTTCCTGTAGGGATCCAAGAGAATATACCATTTATTTGTTTGAGGGGGTAGGAGGGAGAGCAGGAGAGCAGGGAAGGAATTAAAGTGAACAGGTATCAAGTTTTGTCCATCTCTGCCTCAGACAGGTATGAAAATATCCCCTTCAAGCTAATCTAACAAACTAGATATTTGCATTGGTCAACAGGCTAAAGACCTTCAATCTCCAATTAGTTTTCCAAACTCACATTGTCTGCATTACATGTCATGACTACAACAACAGAACAATCTTACTTTTCCAATACCTTTTGCATCATAAAACTTTCAGGTGGCTAGTATACCTGCATACTATCAAATACTGGTGAGGTTTGATAGCTGTCATCTACAGAAGGACATCAGTCCTCAGTTAACATGTTGATTAACACAAGAAAAAAAAAGTATTGAAGATGAAACTACCAGCCACAGAGTTCATTTAACTTCATCAATACACAGCATAATTCCAATGTTAGGCTTATGAGGCAGACCTGCATATTCAGTACTATAAGCTCACAAACATACTCATTGAGCTGTAGTCTTTTATCTTCTCTAGTAACTCATCTTGGCTGATGCCTTGTGCTGGCAGTGTTTTGATATAACCCTTTTCATCTTTCAGGAAGGGCAAACTAGAGGTTACATCATCCAAAGCCTTGTTTATCTGCTTCTGTATCTAAAGGGAAAATAAAACGTCATCAGTGAGATGCATGCCTTTTATATCATGCACAAGGTTCACTACTAGTGCCTGGCACAGGAAGTTCATTATTAACAGCATTATTAACTCCTTAAACAAATACTGTCAAGCACTACGCATTTTAATTCCCTTAATACCTACTTAGCAATTTGAAAATAAAATTGTGTTTACCAAATGTAACAAGGCAAGCTACTAGGTTCCCTCTACCCTTTTCATGAAACTCAAGTCCACGAGGATAAGTTTTTAATCTGTGCCAGTTAAAAATAAAGATACATTACATTTTGAACTAGTCTCTTCAGACATTAGATATACAGGCAGTCCTTGGACTTATGACAAGACACAGTTTTCAGGAACCAATTGTAAGTTGAAACGTTACAACTCAGAACCAATTTTCCCCATGCAAAATAATGTTATAAATGGGAGATTGGCTCCTGAACCAAGGCCCAATACCCTATTTTCACCAAAAATAACCCAGAATTTTGTACTCGATCAATTATAGATGAATAATATAGCTACATTAATGTATTTATATTGTAAATAGCAATCATATTAGATTTGGAAGAACTTCTTTGAAGAGACTTTGCTGGACTTTTTGAAGGGTTCTTGGCTGGAGTCTTCTCAGGAGTCTTGTCTGCTTTCTTAAAGAAAATGTTCAAGTAAGCTTGGACAGATGTTCTCCAGGGAGATGGGCAACACAGTGAACTTGTTTGCTGGTGTGGCGTGGCGTTATAAAGTCGAAACTGACATCAGAAAGTTGAAACAGGGTGTCAATTCATAAACACTGTAAGTGCGAAACTTTGTAACTCGAAACGTTGTAAGTTGAGGACTGCCTGTACATTTAGGGTGCGTATACACGAGCAGCGAGGCTGCTCCAACATGCTGCAATTACAGCACATCAGAGCAGACTCGATTAATCAAGTCTATTGGAGCGTGGCAATTACCATGGTCCAGCAGACTCCAGCATCTCGTGCATCAGCATCCCCGCACTGAAAAATGGCAGTGGGGGGGTGCTTTAACTAAAGCTCATTCATCGATTTTTCAGCATTGGGACACTGATACACGAGACGCTCCAAGCACTTTAATTAGGGCTCTCGAAGCCACTCTAATTAAAGTGCCCCCCCAACCCCCCTCCCCACACACACACACACTCCCAGAGCACATGCATAAACACCCTTAGAGACTAGAAAATATCAGTTACAAAACAATACAATTTATTTAAAAGAAAATTTCCAGTACAGATAGACTTAAGGCTTTTTTTTTTTGTACTTGGCCTGAGCCTACAGTTTTAACGCCCAGATTTTCCCCCTTAAAAGGCATTATCTCTTAGCAGTACGGATTTCTCCACCAGGAACCTTATCTAATACAGCTGTTGGGAGCTTAAAACTACTTGAGACTTTTGGACATTGAAATGCTTGAAAGTCAAGGCCTCATGTAATCAACATGAAAGGCTTATCAAGTAACAGATTACTGATCAGTGGAATCTACAGACAAGAGATACTAAGCCATTTTTTGTAATGGATCAACATCTCAATAGCCCTACCATGAAAATATGAGCCATGTAAGTTTAGCAGGTTGTGACAGGGAGTCTAGAGTTATTCTACATATCTTCTACCAATGAATAAACAAGGTTTTATTGTCGAATATATGAAGAGAGTCATAAATTCATCTGCCACAGCTCACTAATTACTAAAGCCTGATGAAATTGTCAGTCAGGGCACCAGCCTAGACAAACAGGATCACATTAGCTCTTTAAAGGGGAGGTACTAATAGTTTATAACAATTGGGTAACAGCCCTTAAAGCTAGTTCTTTTTTTTCTTTTTTCTTTTTTTAAATCAAGACTTTTTTAGATCTCACTTGCAGTCGTGGTAAGCAAGGTCAAAAAAAAATTAAAGTGTTTTCTTTCATGCTAACTCATTCAGCTGTTACATCAGAAGACCTGGCTTCTGATTCTCAACACATTTTACGTTGCCCATTTATTGAGATTTAGGTCTTCAGGCATGAGCTGTGTCAAAGTGTACTATTGTCATTAACCAAGTCACTAAAAAAGTTATAATTTTTTTGATCCAAATGAAGTTACAAAAAGTGCAAAAAGAACAGCTAACACTTGCAAATAGTTTTTAACTTTTAGGAGAAACAAATATAATTGTATTTCTTGTTTTAATGATTATACAGCTTTGGCTGTCTTAATACTGGAATGCAAGTCATTCTTAAAAGTTCTAAAACAAATTAGCCTGAAGAACAATGAGAAAAATAAGTGTTTTGCCCTGCACAACCAATGTCCACTTACCTTTTCTTTGCATACCAATGACCACATATGGATAACAAACCCAAAATGTTAAATTACCTCAGAGCAATAACCTGGAACCAACTTTAAGCCCAAGTCAGATAACATCTAGAACAAAGTTGGGGCAAACTCAGCCACCTGCAATTGCTCAGAGTCATTAATGGAAAATGGCATCTCCCTTTTCGGAAAGTAACAACTACAGAAAGCATAGATCAGATTTCAGAAGCATAGATAAGCTTTTGGGGTATGGACTCTGACTGAATATTATCAGAAGTTGTTGGAATACTTACTATGCCTCCAACAATTGGCATTTTCCTGATGAGTTTAAAGAACTGCTTTTTACTTCTTGATGTTAAACCTGAAAGAAAACAAACACAGTTAAACTAATTTGAGTTAAGAAGTTAAAAGAAAACTGGGGTATAATATTTTGGAAATACAGGAGGAACTCTTGACTAAATGAAATAAGAGGACTGATGTGCAGGGGTGAGCATAACAGTGTTAGATCCAAATTTGGCTCAGATTATAAACAGTATTAAAGACCTTCATACAGTCACTGGTAGGCATTTTTGACTAAATATTCCATTTTGGGCAAGAAAAGCACAAGAAGAATAGCAGTGTGAAATTGGTACCCAGCACCGCCTGTGCCACATTGCGTGGGCCTGGCCCAGCTCAGCGCGAGGCCATGCACCTTCAGGCCATTCGGGCTATCCCCTGGAACCCCATGCCACTCACAGGAACCATGTGTCATGCCGGGCTAGGTCCTGCCTCCACAAAACTGGCTCAGCCTGATGGGGCTTGGGGCCCATGCACACAGCACACAGCCAGGGTCCATGCATGGTCCCTACAAGTGGCACGAGCAGCATGGAGCTGACTAAAGGTGCACAGCCCTGCACCAAGCCGGGATGGGTCCACACGATGTGGCACAGATGGCACCAGGTGCCAGATGGTTGGAGCCGAGCCACACTGCCCTGTGCCATGGAGGGCTGTGCCAGGAGGGTCCCGAGCACCCCAAACGGCCGCTGCTGCTATAGGGAGGGAATAGTCCATGTGCTGTGTGGGGGGCATGTGCCCTGTGGGGAGCCAAGAGACCCACCCCTCCTGAACAGCCCCCCACACCCACAGTCCCCCTGCAATCCACCTACAACACCCACATCCCCAAGCCACCCTCACAAACCTCAAGTGGCATAACTTGTTCCACACCAAACTGCATGTCCAGGCACATACGCTGAGGCAAAAATCTCCAGCACAAATCTGTGCCACTCCTATTTGAGCTGCTGTGAGCGCACATGCCTGCATGTGTGGACACGACCTATGATCTTACCTTCAATGCTAATTCCAGAATTCTTTTAGTTGACTCCTTTTCTTCACATCATCCATCTTTGCAAGCCTTAGCACTAGTATGTTTTGTAGTAAATACTTACTAGCTAGTACAGGGGTTTTAAACCTTTTTAAATACATGTACCCCCAGAGGCCAAACATGGAGCAGGGGTGGGGGGGGGGGGGTTGCTAGGCCAGACGCAGAGC